TTTTTTTTGTGAAACTAGGATTTGCTTATGTGTGGGATCTTAAACACTCAACTTTTTTTGTGTTATAATTATGGCAATGGGTTTTGTGATTCAACCTATGTTAGTTTTATGGTTATTGATGTGGTTTGATGGTTTGATGGTGTTTGATGGTTATAGCTACCTTTGACTATGGTATGATGGTTGAATATGCTTATACTTGTAGCAGTAGCAATTGTATGATGTTTATGGCCTTTGCTGTGATTGTTTTATGCTATACTGGTTTTATCTTTGGTGTTGTATGATGTTTGGCAGGAAATCAATATAATCAAAAACATTATAAGCTGTAAGCATCACTGATCATATGCTAGCTTTTTTTGGTTGGAAACAAAGTCACTGATGGATGGAAATTCAATAAAAACAGATCCTCAAGATGATACTCAATGTGGCAGATGCATTCATCAAGAACAGATCCTTACACAAATCAAGTACTTAACAGATCCTTACACAAATCAAGTACTTAAAATAGCTAGGTAAATTGAAATTGCTTCATCAAGTACTTGCTTACACAAATTCAATCCAACACATTCTAACAAAATACAAGAACAAGAAACAGCAATGTGTCTGACTCATTAGATAAATCCTAAACACTTGAACAAAATAATTAAGCCCCAAGAAATCAATAAGTACATCTTCAATTTGCGCCTCTGATTCTCCAAAACTTCAACTTGTTTCATCAGTGTCTCCTTCTCTTCACGAAGTTTCTGAATCACATACTGACTACGTCGAGGAATTGGGGGATCTTCCCAAGCAAAAAAATTACAGCCTCCAATCTGAATTAGGGCAACAATAATGTTTTAGAAAAATGAAAATACATGGCAGAACAGAGTTTAAGAGAAAAGCGTACCTCCCAATCTTCACACCCGTTGAATCGCCTACCCGGGTTGGCTTCAGTCCACGAGGTCCACAGCTTCGCTTTCTTCCCACAGTTACAAAACAGAGAGACCTTGGGGCTACTGACCGACGAGGACTGACAAAGAGATTTGTGGGAAAACTTGTTCCTCCATCAATGATTAGAGAGGGCATTATATAGCCACTAGTTACAAGACCCTAATTACAATATAAGGAAAATCCCTAATTATAGTCTATCATATATTCACAAAATATCCTAGAAGATATGTACAGATATGATAACATATAATATTACATCAACACCCCCCCCTCAAGTTGGAGCATGGGGATTCCGAATGCCCAACTTGCCAAGGAAGAAGTCAAACTCGCGCTTGCCAAGTGCCTTGGTAAAAAGATCAGCCAACTGAGAATGAGTAGAAACGTGAGATGCAGAAACAAGGCCTTGAGAGCAATTTGTAACTCCCGAATTTGGTTCGTCCACGCTCTGCAATTTTTTCTTAGGGCTTCGAGAATGGATCGGGATTCTTTTTCAGGGTTTGAGAAAAGGAAAATGACGAGAATTAGGGATTTTTCCTCCAATTTAAGACACCCGTTCATTTTTTTACCGATGTGGCGCATCAAAAAAAAATAAGCAAGCCGGTAAGAGTTACCTTCGTCAGCCGGTGGCCGGACTATTTATCACGTTTTTTGGAACTTACAGGACCTTTTCTAAAAATTGGTCAGTTACAGGACTAAACCTCAAATTGGTACCACTTAAAGGACTAAATCTCTAATTTTTCTGATATCTTAACATCATAACATTTCATTTTATTATTGTTATTATTATTATTATTATTATTATTATTATTATTATTATTATTATTATTATTATTATTATTATTATTATTATTATTATTATTAATATTATTATTATTATTTTGAGATAATAAAAAAATTAAAATAATCGAAAATTTTATAAGTACATATAAGTAATTTGTATGTAAATAAAATATGATCTTATAAATTTTAAATATTTTACAAATCTATGAATAATAAAATTTACATATTAAATAGTCAAGACCTACAAAAAAAAATTAAAAAATTAGAAAAAATAATAGTAAATTATTAAATTTTATATTACTAATGAATTGAATATTGTGTTGAACAGCGTAACAGAATTGCATATATTGTCTCGAATAATTATTAATATTTCAATAATAAAATATTTTTTGTATTATATTACGTGCATCGCACGTGTATCTAGTACCTAAATAAAGGTGTTTAAAAAAAGAAATATTCAATATGATATATTTCGTATATGTGCAAATATTTTGTGTAGTTGTTACACTTTTGCTAATAAATATTATGCTAGTATTTCTGCAACTATTTTATAATATGTTCGGTCGTTGAGTAATTTTCTCTTAGAGAAGATTGCCATTTACCATTAAATTTTATTTTATTTTATAATTAGTAATTACATATTTTTATTTTATTTATAAATATATTAACTCTTATAGTTGTTTTTGTCTAGATTAGGCACTCCCATTATTACTGCTAAAGGGACCTCGGCCCATTTAGAAATAGCGCAGCTCAAGCCCATTGTTTTCTATCCAACTCAGAAGAAGATGCTCATCACAAAAAAAAAAAAATGTGTAATTGGTAGACACGGCCAAAATTCGGGTGGGTCACAACCCGTCCCGGCCCGCTAGGTCGCCGGGTTAAAAACAATGACCCGAACCCGGCACGAACCTATACTCGTGTCGGTCAACAGCCCGGTTGACTGGGCCAGGTCATGGCCGGGTCGGGTCCGCCAATTTTTAGAAAAACAATAGAAATTTAAAATATAAAATAAAATAAAAAAAGCGGATCATTGACCCGGCTCGGCTCAAAACCACCGGGTCGGGTTATGAAATTGAAGACCCGGCACGACCCTTCG